GCTCTCGGGAAATGCTGGACGCTACATTGAACATGCTTTGTAACACGTTTCGGAAACTATTAAACACATTTTAAACAGATGTTTTCATGTCTTATTTCATTTACCAATATTGTATACAGCGCCATTTTTCCACTGGTGGTGAGTTTTTGAACACTTTTTTTTCCCGCGGAAAATAAATTCCCGTAACTTCCTTTACACGATTCCCAAATTTGATAACATTTGGTCCGGTAGTTTTCCTTTTATGACCATTTCAAATTGGAACTTTAATTATAACCACCATGTAAATTAAACTTTAAAAGTCTGACAGTTTGGTTCAAGTTCCAGCTTTAAAAAAAAAAATATATATGTATACATATATAATCTTTTACATTAATCCTCTTAGAAAGAATGTTTTAAGAAGCTAATTTTTCTCTCGCATTATAGATTGTATAAAAAGAACATGAACTTTAATACGATTTAGATTGTTTCAGCCTATATAAGAATCAGGTTACTCGATGGTACAGAATAAACCCTGCTGGACTGTTTTATTTCTTTGTCATTTAGCAAAAATCTTTTAATTAAAATATTTATTCTTTGGACTTCGCTTTAAACTTTACTTATAGTTAAAATGACTAGAAAATGAAAAGCTGTCTTCAGCTGAAACGCAATTCATGTAATTGATATTTTAAAAAATTGACAAGAATGCAAAATTTATGGAAGTCTAGCAATCAAAAAATCTTAACTTTTTTGTGTGTGAGCACTGAAAATAACTGTAGGAAGGAAAGAAGAAAATTAGGGAGAAAAGTAAGCAAAAATTTGCAGGGAAATTTGGCTGTCAGACATACCAAAAAATGTTTCAAAAAGTTGGACGCTTTTGAATATACCTTCAGGATACTTCAAAGAATTTAGGTGTTTCAAAGAGAAAACACTTGGACGTGTACACCACACCACCACCACCAAATACCATCAATTGAGCTTGTGTTAACAGAAAACAGACAAAACGATATCATTGCAGATTAAAGTGAAGAGCGACTGGTTTTAGACTATATGGTTGTATAAATTTAAATTACGTTATAGAACATTATATCGTATCATAAATGGAGAATCCCATGATTTTCTCAGTCGAATTATTTGAAGATTCAGGAGTTTATCCAGTGATGTATGTGGATGTCACCTAAAGACGTTTCTTTTTCCTCCTGATGAAACAGCGGCTGAGTGGTAAATCGCTGAACACTGGTAGTTCGGTCCGAGGTTCGAATCCCGCGAACGGGCTGTCTGCATGGGCATTTTCGTGGTTTTCCCCATATATAACGTGTATGCGAGCCAGTTTCCCTTAGAAACTCCACGAAGGCATCCCTTCCCTTAGGCATAATTAAATAAACCAAAACCTCTTAATGAAACCAGACTTTCCTTTCATCTCATATCTTCAAAATGTTTAGCCTCTAAAGACTGATAAAGGCTCTGACCAAATACTTCGTGATGAACTTTCTAAGAGAAACCAGCTAGCATACATGGTACACATGAGAAAATCCAAGAAAACGCCCAGGTAACCAGCCCGTTTACCAGGATTCGAACCCCGGAGTGAACTACCAGTGTTCACCGACTTTACCGCTCGGCCATTTGTGGGCCTTTATGAAATGGAAGGCGATAACTTTATTTAAAATGATTGTCAGAAATACCAGGATATTTCGAAAAGTTGGAGGCTTTTTAATATACTTGCAGAATGCCTAAAGAAAAAGTGCAAGAATAAAGTAGAATGCCTGAAGAAAAAGAAAAGAAAAAATAAATTTTTGCGTAAAATTTAATATTTCTACTTTTTTTAAAATTTAAAACTTTTTAATCTTATGATATTTGATTCTTGCGATTTCAAAAATAAAATATTTGACTAAAATATGAAATAACATTTTAAGAAACCAAATGTAAGATAAAACTGTGTAAAGCAATGGGCACAATGATTATATTAAACTGTTTAAAACAGTGTATGCAAGTCATCCTATGTTAAAATGTCCGTTATACATCTCTCTTATTTATATATTTCTTTTCTGAAAGGAACATTGAAAGGCGTGTTAACTGTGCTTTAATTTCTCTTTTAATATATGCAGTTTTCAAATGCATCATAGTCTGGGGTTACAAAATATTCTTCGGAAAAAGAAACGCAATTCAAATAAATAAAATCAAATTCTGGAAAATTTATATTAATATAAAAATATTTAAATGCTCAGTTCGAAGGAATAAATAGAAAATTTTAAAACAATTATCTGAAGAGACAATGCAACACAAACAATTAAAAAAAAAGTATAAAAATTAAAAAAATTCTTAAAATAATATGACAAATAAATATATATAAAGAAAACTATTTGAAAAAAAAAAAAAATAATAAATATAAACGCTGCACCTTTATTGACACAGTTTGAATAGGTAAATAGAAATTTGTAAAATAGTTATTCAAAGAAAAAACATGCAACTTAAAGAATTAAAATGAAATTCGAAAAAGAAAAAATTACTTAAAATAATAACAGTTATAATAAAAAATATGTAAAGAATAAAGATTATTTGGAAAAAAAAAATGATGGTGACTTTTTTTCCTCTCACGGGAAAGGAAACAAGGTTGCCATATATTAAGACGTTCGCCAAGTGCGAACTATTCTTGGCGCAAACTGAACAAAAAGTGGCAACATAAATTTGTGAATTTCTCCGTAAATTTCGTTCCAAATTTTATAAAATTTCATATTTAGGCGTAACTTGAGTCGTAGAAAGAATCGAAATATGTGAAAAAAAATTGGTATGTTATTTCAGAAAAAGTCCGATTTTGTGTCAAAATACCTATGTTAGAATAGTGCTATATATAAATCTAATATATATTTTAAGTCGCGCTTTCGAGACATGAAGAACGCAATATGAATTTTGTCAATCAGCCCAGTAGAACGGGAGATATAGCACTGTCCCATTTTTTTTTTTTTTGAGCAGTGTACATATGGAGAAAACCAACAAAACCCAACCCAGTTACCTGGGTTTTGCATGGTGGACCACTGATAGGGCTAAATAAATAAATACAGGTAAACAATCGGTAAAGTGTTGAGACTGCAGTGAATGTTAATGAGGTCCTTTCAAACAAAATTATTATTCCATTTCCATGTAAACTAGATGGTTGAATAATCACTTAATAAAATACTATTGCAATTAAAATATAAGTAGTATCATAATTAACTTTTTAAAATTTTCTAGAAGTAGAACAAAAATTAATATTTTATTGTGTGATGTCTGATGGTGTGAAAAATTATGAAGGAACTGCTTCTAATCACCTCATAATTCTGCCTATCTACTTTCATAGCAGTAATGTGTATAATATAAAATGTTCAGTGTACTACATTTCTAACAGAAATTTTAAGCACATTTTTTACGTTTTTGTTCTAGAAGGAATTAAATTTCCAATAAAAACAAAATACTCAGAGTGGACTAATATCTAAAGAATATATAGAGAATCCAATAAGCTTTACAAACCTGAACCTTCCGCTGAGGCAGCCTGGGTTACTTTTTACTGTTAGACGGGTTGGTGGCTATGTCTTTCTCCGCTGGGGAATAATGTTCATCCAAAGAGAACTTATAGTGGACTAATACCTGAAGAATATATATGGAATGATCAATAAGATCTATAAAATAAACCTGAATCCAATAGAAGGCAGTCTAATTTATTTGATAAGAGAGGTCAACACAAATATGCCCAGTACAATATCCCAGATATTAGTCCACTACATACTTCCCAAATGAAATGGCTCACTGATCAAAATGAAGTTCAGATGATGAAATGTAAGAAGACTATGTGAAAATGAATAGAACCACAGACCCAAAATACTTTGAATTGCTCTAACAACACAAATTAACTGCAGTGTCTTTCTTTGTGATGGAAAAGTGCACATCCAGAAACTGTTTACGTAGTGGACTAATACCTAGAGAATGCATGATATGCCAAATAGTAATCGGAATCTCAGTGAGGCATTCTAGACTGTACTCAGGTAAAACACAGGCTAAAAGTAAAAATGACCTTCCTCAAAGTCCTCTAGGAAATATTCATAAAAACAAAGAATAAATAATTATGCAAAACTGAAGTAAACATAGAATGTTGATAAGAAACATTCTGTTCAGAAAATCAGTCAGAACAACTCTGATAAGACAAAACAATGTTTATACTACTTTTTTCCTATGGTATTTTATGGAAAATGATAACATTAATCCCAGCAGAGCACATTTAATATGCTCATTCTGAAGAAAATTTGAAATTTTTATACAGATAATGATAAACCATAGCTTCATCCAAACAGTCTCTGGATCACTGATGAAAAAAGGTTGACTGCATGCTTTTTCAGGTCCTTTATAAAATCTTTAAATATACTATCCCAAACTTCTTGAACAAAAACTACAACCACACTAGCCATATGTCATATTAGATTAGTGTTACATAATACATTTACACACAAATACAGTCAAAAATGAAAGCCATCTTATTTTAATCTTGTATATAATAAGTGTATTCAGAGTATGCATAATTCGTGTTCTTTAAATTTTAAATATTTACAATTAAATTATCAAAGTGATTTTCTTTTTGCAAATGCCTTAAAATTTTTTTTTTTTTTTTTTTTTTTTTTTTTTTTTTTTTTTTTTTTTCAAAATGCCTAAAATTTTTTTAAAATTTTATTTTAAATACTTACCAAATCAAAAAAAGGGGGGACTACATTTTCATAATAACACAAAAACTATTTTGCAATAGTGAGTCATAAATATATTTCTGTTAATTCAACATAACTTAAAATGCTGTCTAAAAGTTAAGCAACTTAAAACCAGCAAGAAATTTATTTTTTGAAATTATACGCCATTAATTTTACATGTATTTAAAATGTATGTTTTAATTTTACATGTACATAATTACATGTATTTAAATTATGTGTTGATTTTACCATATTAGTTCTTTTCTAAATGGTGTCTATGCTAAAACTGAAATCTAGTGCAGAAAACTTCTTGATTACCTTATGCCAGGCGTTAAAGATGGAGGATGAGTTTCGAGATACCTTCTGACAATATATACAGATGGTTGTATGATATCTAGGCGCCTTGATAATGCTTCTCTAAAAGACATTCCTCCTTTCATAGCCTTTTGTGTTCTGCAATAAAATACATACTTATTAGTGCTTAGAATTACACCATATTTCAATGGAAATGCAAGTTTCCTTAAAGTAAAATTACATAAGAATTCATAGTGTAGATAGCTGCAATTTTTAATATATTAGTAAAGATATTTTACATAAGTTTTTATATAACAATAATGAAACTAGAAGGTTCTTTCTTGTAATAAAAATCAGTCATAACATAATAAGATTTTTTTGGCTGTTAGTAAAATTTTAATGTTTAATGTTATGCATATTTAAAAAACATGTATAAAATATAGAAATAACAGGGCAATATAATAAGAAACCAGATACTTTGTAGGGTCAAAAACCAGAATTAAGGAAAAGCATACAGACAGACTCATCAATATTAACATTATTAATGAAGATAGCAAATTGTTAATTAAATATACAAAAGATCATCTGCGTTAAAAAAAGATTGGAACAAAATTGAAATCAATAGAAAACACATGCATCAAAACTGCCTTAAAATTAGAGAAACAGTAAAAATTATGTCTAGGCTATTTGGCAGTAAAAATTTTCTATCACTCTGTAAGGATTATGTTAATTTTATTACCAGTTAAATTTTAAGTTCCTTTCCTGTCAAATTCTTAACTTCAACTTACTACTTCCGGCCAGAATGTACTTTTGGAATCTTGCTGAATATTTAATGAGGAGCGGTATTTAAACCACGAAGTTACTTACTGAGTCGGAGAGAATCAGAGTTTCTGATTTACAAGCGTCTGCCTTTTTGGCCATTTTCTCTCTCAAAGCTGTTATTACGCTCAGCCGTACTCAGGCCCTTGCTTAGCTTCGTAGTCAAATAAGTTAAGGGGCCAACTCGAATTGAACCTTGATAGTTTCGGCTATACTTCTTTAGTTAATCTTAGTTTAATTCTTAGTCTTTAAGTTCAAGTCCAAGTACGGGCTTTGCTTGTATACCCCCAGGCGGAGTTTTGTTAAATCTTATTACAATAATAAAGGGTTAGTTACCCTTCTATCTTGTTGTTTCTTGTCACTGAATGCAAGCGATTATTCGCTTATCAGTTCTTAGATTCTTCACTTCCAACATTAACTTAGAATTCCAAAGTGAGGAACTCTACATTTGGCGCCCGAAAAGTTTTTTTTTTAACGGACCATGTCGTTAGAATCCGGGAAGTTTACGTTTACTTCTTCGACCTTTCAGGTCCCTACAACATCCACGAATCCAGTAGAAGGGTTTGGATTCCTCGTGGAAACGTTGCATGCATCTATGAAACCAACAGCAACTTTTGACGGCAAGGGCTCAGTCCTGACATTTTTGGAGCAATTGGACTACATTTCACCTTACACCCTGTGAGTCAGCTACAAAAGGTGATCATCGCTACTACAGCCTTAAAAGGTCAAGCCCTTAGCTGGCAGAAGAGTACAGGAAAGTTCTTGTTGGGAGACCCAGGATCTGAATCATATAACTGGGAAAATTTCAAGTCTGCATTACCAAAAGCATTTCCAGCCGTTAAAGATCGTGCGAAGCTTGAATCAGAATTGTATAGTAAATACCAAGGCAGTTTCGCGGATTTGACGGAGTTCATTTTAAGAAAAGTTCATATTTTTAATCTATTATACGGGAAAAAGCCCGATAAAGAAATTATCGAACTAATTCTACCTCGTCTTCTACCATCAGCACAAGATTTCCTCAAAGTACGTAATCCGCAAACATTAGAAGTTCTATTTCAGCTTGCAGTAAAATTCCAAAGTAGAAGAAACTCGGAGAAAGCGCGTGCAAGTCAGTTTGGCCAGTACTCAAGATTTACTCCCCAAAAGAAACCACAAGTTCAGTACAAGGCGTATCGGCAGACGGGAAAAAGTGAAAAGTTCAATAACAAGAGCGCAGATAAATCTAAGGGCGGTGGATATAAAAATCAACGAAAAGAGGCGGCAGGTAACCAGAATTTAAACGCAAACCGGTGATCGAGAAGGGGCAACGGTCACCGAGTGGGAAAGAAGACCCCTCAGAAATTTGTTTAAATACAGTGGTGGTACAAAATCTAGCTATGCCGGAAGTACAGATTCTGGTACATAATGTACCAACCACTGCACTCCTGGACACAAGGGCACAATGTTCATTCCTATCGGAGAATTTTTTTTAAAAACATTTTCTTCGTTACAGACTATTTAAAGCCATGGGAGAGAAAGTAATTGCCGCACAAGGCAAATAGTGCGCATGTTTGGGGAAAACCGTACTGCATGTTCAGATTAAAAACAAGGTTCTAAAAGTTAATTTTTTAGTCGTGAAAAATTTACTCGCGTCAGTTATATTGGGGGTCGATTTTTTACGCGCATCCGGTGCAAATCTTAATTTTCAGAATTCTACGTTTCAGGTGCACATGGACCCGGTAGAAGAAGATGAAGTTTCCATGCCGGAATTGCATTTAGAACATTTGAAGCTCGAAGAGAAAAAGTAGATTGAAGGACTGGTAAGGAAATTTAATTTTTTTTTTAACGACAAACCTGGTTTTTGTCAGGTAGTTAGTCATTCCATAGATACTGGGAATGCCCCTCCAGTCCGGTCGAAGCCCTATAGATATGATAAAACGAAAGAAAAAATTATCGAGAAGCATATTGAAAAAATGCTAGAAAACAAAATAATCGTGCCTATCACGAGTTCGTACACAAGTCCGGTGGTCCTTTGTAGAAAAAAGAACGGACTACCGCCGGAACACCCAGACGCGTATAGGTTTGCAGTCGACTATCGTAAGTTGAACAGTATAACAAAATATCCCACGTATCCCCTACCAACAATTGACGAAATAATTAGAAAAATTCGCTCGACTAAATTCATGACAACCCTAGACCTCACTTCGGGTTACTTCCAAATCGCTGTTAAGCCAGAGGATGTCCAGAAGACCGTGTTCATAACAAAATCAGGTATCTATGCCTTTTTAAGAATGTCCTTTGGTTTAAGCGGAGCGCCAGCTACGTTCCAAAAAGCTTTGGACATAGTCTTGAAGCCAGTTTTAGATAAAAGTACAATTATTTATCTTGACGATATCATAGTTACCAGCGAAACATTAGAGGAACATTTGGAAGAAGTTTTTGTCTTACTTAACGAGGCCGGTTTCAAAATAAATGCTAGAAAATGCAAGTTCGTGGCAAAGGAATTGCGATACCTCGGGTACAAAATCTGTAATAAGGGCACAGAGACTGATGATTCAAAAATTAAGTCAATTAAAAGTTATCCTCCCCCAAATACGGCTAAGAAATTGTCTTCGTTTTTGGGCTTATGTTCCTATTATAGAATGTTCATAAAGAACTTTTCGAAAATAGCTGAGCCTTTTCTAGTGCTAAAAAGAAAGAAAAGTAGATTTTCTTGGGCAGCCAAGGCAAACACCGCGTTTGAACAACTAAAGAATGCCCTAATCAATGCCCCAGTCCTTAAATTCCCAGAAGGCGAGCAAGGTCTAGAAATTTCAGCGGATGCATCCGATTATGCAGTTGGAGCGGTGCTCTCCCAAAATGGGCAACCTATAGCTTTTTTTTTTTTTTCGAAAACCTTGAATGCTACTCAGAGGAAGCTATTCCGCTACTGAGCGAGAAACGCTCGCTGTGCTTATTAGCAGTTCAGAAGTTTCGTGTCTACTTCGGAAGTTCATCGATAACAGTCTACTCAGATCATGCACGGCAGTGGGTCGCTTGTATTCAGGAAAAAATTTATCACCTCGCTTGATACGGTGGACTTTAAAATTACAAAAATTCAACTGAATCAAAAAAAATAAAACACACTCCAGGAAAGGAAAAATAGTCGCCGATGCCCTTTTGCGAATAAAATTTGATGAAGAGGGAAACACAATCAAGTATGCTATGCTCACCTCAAGAGTTATTGAGTCCCGTGAAACAATAGTCGAAGAATTGAAAAAGGACCCGGAATTTAAAGATATTTACGCATACCTGGAAGATCCACTGAAAACTTTGAACATATAGATTTAACGGCTATTCGCAATAGGACACAGCATTACGAAATAATCGACAAATTGTTATTTTATACAAAGGTAACAAATGAAAATCAGGAATACCGACCAGTAATCCCAGCGAATCTACGCTATCTTAGAGGTACTTAAGTACTATCTTAGAGGAGTTGCACGATCTACCATCTGCCGGACATTTTGGAATACGAAAAACACTAAAGAGGGTGCGCGAAGTGGTTTATTTTCTGTAGTTACAGAAAGTTGTTACAGCGTATGTTAAGTCATGCCATATGTGCCAATTAATAAACGGTGTTAATTACAGCCCGGCCGGGTATTTAGAAAACATAAAGACCACTTTTCCAAATGAAATAGTGGGCATAGATTTGCTCGGACCCTACCCTAGGACAAAAATAAATTAAAACAGATAAATTTTAACAATCGTTGACCTTTTTTCAAAATGGGTAGAAATAGTCCCTCTTAAATGAGCTTCAGCTAAAATAGTCGCAGATTTGTTCTTAAATAAATATATATTAAAATACGGGGCCCCACTAAAAGTAATATCAGATAACGGAAAACAGTTTGTTAGTAGTATATTTAAAAATTTGCGCACAGGACTTGGCATATGCCATCTAAAAATGGTACCATATAGGCCGCAGTCGAATATAGCGGAACACGTAAATAAGAATATTGTAAAAATTATCAGGGGATATGTGAAAAATTTTCATGACCGCTGGGACAGCTGTGTCATTTGCGCACAGGACTTGACATACGCCATCTAAAAATGGTACCATATAAGCCGCAGTTGAAAATAACGGAACGCGTAAATAAGAATATTGTAAAAATTATCAGGGGATATGTGAAAAATTTTCATGACCGCTGGGACAGCTGTGTCAATGAGTTAGGTTTTGCCTTGAGAACCGCAAAACACAATACTACGCAGAAGACCTTCGCGGAGTTATTTTTAGGAAGAAAAATCATAACGCCTTTGGATAAGCTGTTCTTTGTACAACAGAGACAAGAAGAATTCAAGTTAAAAGACATTCAGAAAATTAT